AGAGCGTTAAAAATACCCTGGGGAAGCAAGATATGCCAAGGTAAATTAAGGTGTTTCTGTTTTGATCCTTTATCATAGACAACCATTTACAGGTTTGTGGCACCATCAAGGAGATTTCTGCCCTGAACCTCTCCAATTCTTTGGAGGTGGACCAGAAGTGGTTCTGTCCACCCACCCTGGGCTAGACCAGGCCCAGTCTGTGCTGGCGTGCCTCTCTCCCACTGACTCCACACAGTTTCCTCTGCGGTGCCCTCAGGCATCCAGCTTTCGACCATTTGGTGGTAAAGTCTCTAGGCACACTGCTTACAACATCACCCACGCCACTGGGTTTCTACCCCACCTAATCTCTCTGCCAAAGAAAGGCAGAGTGTGAGAAGCAAAGGTTGCAAGAGAGTTGCTTAGTTCTTCTTCCTAAACAGTCCACTTCTCAGACAGGGTGGGGGTGATGGAGGAGGAACTCACACATGATTTCATTACGGGTGTGGCTTTGGCAGACGTGGGAAATACTTGAGTGAGTGACACGAGACTCAAAATTTGTCACTGGACTAGGGCTGAAGAACAGAGAATCCTATTCACGGATGTAGCCCTTGCTGGAAAGATGGGATCCCCAAGTGGTGTGTCTGATCTGTTTAAGGTTCCTCCCCGCTCTGAATTCACATTGAGCACTAGCTGTCCCTTCTTGTGCAATGACTTCTACCAGCAATTATTTTTTCTCCAATCATTCCTTCTGATCTGACTCCCATGGATGTAATATGGGAGATTTTGATCCTTTCCCCATATAAATTAATTCTTGTTTGAGAACATGTTATGTGCAGATGTATCTTTAGGAATTATTGTATCTAGGTGATTAAAAGGGACTTTTCCACATTTTCCCATTGGATGAAGTGGGGATTAAAGCCATTTAAAGCACAATATTTTATATATCTACCTGGAAGCGCATTCCACTGAGTTCAGTGGGGTTTATTCCCAGATAAGTACTGCAGCCTTAACAATTCATCAAAAGTGTATGTGTGTGTGTGTGGGGGGGGGAGCTGCAGTGTTGATCTAAAACAGAGTATAAGGGCATGCATAGATTTCCTCAGCACCAGGGGTTAAGTCTGCATATGAATTATCATCATTATTATTATTCAAAAATACCAGGCACAGTCAATCGAAATTCTAAAAACATTGACTGGTATTACATAACAGATGCAAGTTTTTTTTTAAAAAAAATCTAAGTATTTGTTAAATATCTATGTAGTATTTATGCTGTTCCTAATATTGCCATTTTTTGTAACCCTGGTGATGTTATTTCTGAAATCAGCAACTGCTTATAATATTGTGTGAAATTTCTTGATATTGTTCCCAAAGCCCAGATGACAATGGGGATAATACTGTGTGAAATTTCTTGATATTGTTCCCAAAGCCCCAATGACTACGGGGACCACTGAAGTGTGTTTCATCCACAAACAAGATGTTTTGATTGCCAGATCTCTGTATTTTGTAAGTTTTTCCAGTTCTTTATTTTCAACTCTGGCATCTCCTGGAATTACAATGTCAATTATCCAGACATTTCTCTTTTTTGCACAAGAACACATACTCTAAACCAACGTGATGAAAGCTAAGATTCAAGGAATTAGGATTAAGAGAAAAAATCAATTCTGCCAAGAAAAAGATGAAACTGTGTCACACCTCATCTGTGACTGTCCAAAGATTGCACAAACAGATTACAAAAATAGACATGACAGAGTGGCCAAATTAGTGCACTGGTCATTTATTTATACATTTACACTTATATTTTTCCCTGCCTTTCTCCTTAAGGACCCAAGACAGCTTACATCATTAAAATAGCATATTTAAAGCTACAAACAGGTAGTATACAAATGGTAAAAAAGATCAAACAAATACCAAACAAAAATACAGTAAACAAAGCAACACAGGAAATGTATTCAAAACTGTAAGACACAATCATCCATTAAAAAACCCCACTCAGGAAGCCAGTCATTAAGGGAAAGCTTGCCTGAAGAGAAAGGTCTTCACCTGCTTGTAGAAGGATAGTAAAGATGAAGTCAGCTTGGCCTCCTATGGGAGGGAGTTTCAGCACGTGAGAGCAGCAACAGAGAAGGTTCTCTCCTTTGCCCCCCCAAATGCACCTGCGAGGGTGGTGGGACCAAGAGAGAGGCCCCTCCTGATTATTTCAACACCCAGGAAAGCTCATAGAGGGAGCATAGACCCCAAGGGACCAAATGTAGTTCAGCCCCCATACTTTTCCAAAGGCTAATTTAAAAATAACCTGTTGTGGCTCAAGAAATATCTTTTTGCCATACGGAACAGTTTCCTGTGTTTCACAGAGTTCCCCCCACACACCTCCAAACATCCCAGATCTTCACAGTGCAGTTTTAAAAATGTCATTAGAGAGCATGTGTAGGATTTTTCAACTTAAAAAGATGTTAAAAAACTGAGGTGGAGTGAGGGCATGGAAACAGATGCAGTTCTCCAAGGTACACAAATGGGAACGTGAAGTGCCCAGATCTCTGGAACTTGCTTCTACCCTCGATCTACATACACTGGTTGTGGAATACCAGGGCTTTGGGCAGGAGTCCTTTCCAAACTCTACCTGGAACATATTAGGGATTCAATCTGCATCCTTCAGCACAAAAAAGAGAGAATTTTTTAAACTACTGAGCTAAGCCTCAATCCCCAAAATATTCTACTTGTTGAATTTACATTTGATATAATTTCCCAAAACGGTAAGAAAAAAGAGTTATTGCCTGTTTACTTTTCATACACATTTATCAGGTAAGTTCTGAGCCAAGAAACATTGATTTTGTTTCTGTTCTGTCTTTCTCCCAATACAGAGACCCAGGTGGCTTCCAAAATAAGAGATGCACAGTAGATTGCATTATTAAAAGACATTTAAATGTGTATTTAAGAGATCATTAGTTTAAAGCAATGTAAAGGACACCTCAGAAAAGAATTAAAAGCACAGCATCCTTGATTAAAAGCTCTTTGTTCAACTGCTTGCTTAGCTGCCACAAGACTGCTTGATGAGAAATGTTTTACCTGTCCGTGGACGGTCATCAGGGAGGGGACAATCTCACTTTCTATGGAAGAGTGTGCCATAAACTGGGAGCAGCCACTGAGAAAACACTCATGTCCTTTCCAGATATTCCAATGAAGGCAGTCTATCCAGACTGGCCATTTTGGGTGTGGGGTGAATCAGGCTAGAAAGGATCTGTTGAGGGGGGGCAATGTGCCTCTTGACATGCTCCTCCCGTCCAAATAGCAACATTTACTGAAGCTCAGAAATGACATTTTTTGTCACTCCTCTCTCCCTCTGTCAGTGCTGGTCTGTTTTCTCCCTCCCTCCCTCCAGTTCTCCCTGCACTTTCTCAACCCCCCCCCCAAGAATCAGCAGTCACCATGGCAGAGGCTGCTGGAGGCTGATATCTTCAGGCCAAACAATAAGCATGTCAAAAAGAATGCATGCCCTATTGCTTGGCCATAAAGATGTGCAGCAGCTCTTAAAGGATAAGGACGGATCATTCTAAGTGGAAACACTTGCAGACAACATCTTTTTCTCTGATCCAAATTGTGCAATCAGCAATCCATATATCATATCTATATGATACTGCGGAGAGAACATTACCTAAAGACATCTTCTGAAGAATTTAAAGATAGGAAGGTTCATAGTCCGGAGCCTATCCATATCGGGCTTTACTGGACATAACCAGGACAGAAGCATAGCCAATGCAGCTGCTCTCTGTGACTGACTATGGTCAAAAGTCTGGCTGAAGCAGTTGGACCAGATGGTTTCCAAACATGTTTAAAACGTGGCACTACAAAGGATGTGTTACAATAATCGAAGTGAGATGGAACTATAGTCAACTTCCTCGAGTGATGAGCAGAACTGGTGCACTATCTTATCTGTGCAAATGCACTCCAGACTACTTCTAAAACCTGGGCATCCAGGCTCAGGTCTGGGGTACACCCAGGCTAGTAACCACAGTTCTCACAAGGAGTGTAAACTCATTTGATACAGACTGAATCAGTATTCCCTGATCTACCTTTTGGCAGACCGGTGGCACTTCTGTCTTCTCTGCATTCAGCTTCTATTTGTTTGCCCTTAACTAATCCATTATTGACATCAGACACTGCTTCAGAATTGAAACATCTTCCTGGAGCTAGATGGAAAGGACAGACAGGAGTGTCATCAACATGCTGGTGGCAACAAATTTTCAAATTCCTGATAATCTTTTCAAATGGTTTGAGATATGTCTGCCTGTCTGTCTGTGAACAATACCGAACCTTGAAAGACTCAACAGACCAGAGAAAAGGGGGGCCAATGAACAGAAGACTCACAGAAGCACCTTCTTAGCTTGCTCATCCAGGAAAGATGGGAGTCACTGGAAAATATGTTGGAAAATACAACCGAACATGCTTCTCCTTTTAACACTGGGTGTCAATGAGAAACATGTTTTCAATCTGCTATTAACTTAGCTTTTTTGTTCACACCTCAGACTCTTTGAGGCCGGCTATTCTCTTTTGGTGCCTTCATTGCTAGCTGCCTTCCCTCCATTTTCTGTTCTCCAAAGACATACATGTGGAGATGTACAGTGGGGTCTCGACTTAAGAACTTAATCCGTATTGGAAGGCAGTTCTCAGGTCGAAAAGTTCTTAAGTCGAACACCTCAGACTCTTTAAAGATGGCTATTCTCTTTTGGTGCCTTCATTGCTAGCTGTCTTCCCTCCACTTTCTGTTCTCCAAAGACATACATATGGAGATGTAGCTCCACTCTCTCTACATAAAAAAAAACATGCACTGTAAATAAATATCTTTTGTTTTCTTAAATCATAAAGCATTCAGATTGATCACTTTTCCTTTTCCAAAGGATGTGATGTAACTAACCAGATCTCTCCATGCTTTCTCCTGTATTAAAAGGGGAATAGCTGAACTTCAAATCCCATTAAAAAACAGTGACTCAAAGTTCTATCCCTTGGAGGTAATCCAGAAGGATACCATGATCAATGGTGTTGAAAGTCATCCAAAGGTCCACCAGAACCAACAGGCCAGTGAGTCTACACTGCACCAGGCAGTGGAATTACAACAGGTTCCTTTATACAAAGATCACCATTATTCTGAGTTCTATCCCTTGGAGGTAATCCAGAAGGATACCATGATCAATGGTGTTGAAAGTCATCCAAAGGTCCACCAGAACCAACAGGCCAGTGAGTCTACACTGCACCAGGCAGCGGAATTACAACGGGCTCCTTTATACGAAGATCACCATTATTCAGTCCAGAAAACTGGGTCCAGAATATGCCCTAAAAGGAACTAGAGACCTCATTTGGTGCTGCTGGCAGTCACTATATTTAACTATTTTATTATTATAACCCATCTGCAGTTTGGCTCTGCTAAAAATATAAATGGTTCCTTACAATGTTAACAAAGGAATGCAACATTAATTTGGGCATTTCCTCATATATATATATTTTGTTCCTTCATTTCTTCTGCTTTCTTCTGCAGCTATGACAGTAGCTGCTACTCCCCTATTTAGATATCCCTCTTAGTGACTGGGACCAAGTCCCTTAATACAGTGGTCCCCAACCTTGGGCCTCCAGATGTTCTTGGACTCCAACTCCCAGAAATCCTGGCCAGCAGAGGTGGTGGTGAAGGCTTCTCGGAGTTGCAGTCCAAGGTTGGGGACCGCTGCCTTAATACATATTGACTCAGCACCAAAATTTACAAGTAAGCAACATGTTTCTCCTTCTAAGAATGCACCTATAAAGGTAATAAAATAAAAGATTCCTAGTTGAGTCATCCAAAGTAAAATGGTTAAAGTTGCATCCACCCTCTTCAGGCTCAACCATCCCATCAGCACAAGAGAGTGGATAGTTCCAGTGGAAATGGGGGTAGAGAATTTTGTGAAAGGCAACCACTGGACAGCAGTGGTTACAGAGGATCTTTCATAGGTAACAGCAATGACTCTCAAGCTATCTTTTGCTAGTACTGTACTGCAGAAATGGCAATGATGTCACTTCTCAATATTTCTTATCTTGAAAACCCTATGATGAGGCAAAAAATAAAAAAGAGATTGTACTGATAGACAAGACTCCAAGGTTAGAAGACACTTGACCAGTGACTGGGGAAGAGCAGAAGACAAGTACAAAGATTAAAGCCAAAAAGTTGTCTAGTGGCCAATGTGCTCAGAGATGAAAGGAAAGTCTGATGCCGCTCGACACCTGCAATTGGAACATAGGACATGAGTAGTATGAATTGAAGTACATTGGGAACCATAAAGCAAGAAATGGGACGTTTAAACATTGCAGTAGTTGGTGTGAGAGAACTAAAATGGACTGGAACGGGGCATTTTCAGTCAGACAACTATGAATTGTTTTACTGTAGAAATGGCAAACTCAGAAGAAATGGAGTGTCCGTAATATTGATGAAAGATATAGCGTCTAAGTAGTTATGGGCTATAATGTGACACATGACCAAATAATATCAATCCGATATATGGGAAAGCCATCATTCAAGCATGCTCCAACTGAAGATGAAGAAACTGAAAACCTTTGTGCAGGAAGAAATCGATCACATACCAAAACAAGACATACTTATAATCACAGGTGACTGGAATGCAAAAGTAGAAAACAGCAGAACCAAATGTTGTCATCCATCCATCCATCCATCCATCCATCCATTGACCCCTGCCTTTTTCCTTAAAAAGGGCCAAAGGCGGCCTACAAGATTAAAAGACAACATTTAAAGCTAAAAACAATAAATATATAAATAGTAAAAGAAAAGCAAACAAATACCACCCTGAGAAATGGTAAACAAAAGCAATATTAAAAATACATTCCAAGCAAAAAGGCACAACAATCTATTTAAAAATATCCAACTCAAGCAATCTGTCACTGAGAGAAAGCTTATCTGAAGAGAAAGGTCTTTGTCTGCTCCTGGAAGAACAGCAAGGATAAAGCCAATCCGGTCTCCTGTCGGGGGAAAGTCACCTTCCCACCATAAAACTGTGCCTCCAAATCCCATCCCAGAGAGACCGACAAGAAGGATACCATTGTTGGTGATATTGAAAGCCCCTGTGAGGTCCAAGAGAACCAACAGGGACACACTCCTCCTATTCAATTCTCAGCACAGATTATCCATCAAGGCAACCAAAGCAATGTCCACCTGAAGCCAGATTGAAATGGATCAGTCTGGGATCAATCAATCTAGGGATCAGGAATTAACTAAAATGACAAAACTGAGGCTGTCATACTTTGGGCACATCACAAGAAGGCAAGACTTGCTGAAAAAGGCAGTAATACTAGGAAAAGGTGAAGGCAGCAGGGAAAAAGGGCAACTAAATACTGTATTAGATGGATTAACTCCATAAGGGAAGCTACCTCCTTGAGTTTACAAGAGCAGGGCTCTTCAGGACAAGACACTTTAGGGGTCACCCAGTTATAGAGTCACCACAGGTCAGAGGAGACTTGATAGCCTGTAACAACAATTCAGTTTCCTATATATTCGAATTAATTGTAGTCCTGTATTTTTCTGTGGAGATACTGTGTTTCCCCAAAAATAAGACAATGTCTTATATTAATTTTTGCTTGAAAAAAAGCATTAGGGCTTATTTTCATGGGATGTTGTATTTTTTTTCATGTACAACCAACTACATTTATTCAAAAATAATCATGTCATCTTCTGGTTGCTGCACAATGGTGGAGGGCAGGGTTTCACTTAACCAGGGCTTATTTTGGGGGGTAGGGCTTATATTACGAGCATTCTGAAAAATCATACTAGGGCTTATTTTCAGGTTAGGTCTCTTATTTTTGGGGAAACAGGTAGCATGCATGAACTTTGTCTCTTTAAACTTGAACATGTATTAATTGAGTTGTTGCTTTTTTCAAAGAGAAAACAGTACAATATCAATATTTAAATTGGGGAAAAAAATAAGTGTAAGCCTAAAGCCTCAGTGGGAATATCAACCTTCCCATGTTCTCTATTTTTAATCAAGAATTTGTCCCACTAGAAATAGTTGTTTTGCAGTGTAAACTGTTTTGAGAAAACCATTTTTATTATCTTTTGTGTATACTCAAGGTGGTTAATAGTAACATTCAGACAGTACACTAAATTATAACTAAAATTATTTAAAAATGTAATAAAGTATAAAGTTGCATGCATATACAGTATCTGTATCCCAGTTGGTCACAACTGCTAAAATACATTGGTTAAATCCTGTCTCTTTCCTACTGAGCAACGGACAGTTTTCATTTCTCTTCAGAGACACTTGTCAGCCTTACACTGAGGTACCTTGGTTTGTTATCATCCTGCTCAGATGTAGAGATGTATAGGTCTGTGATGAAAGTTGTTACCTATATGTGCTAGGACTGTATTTCGGTTTAGCCCAATCAAACTGGTCTGATCCAGACATGTTTAGGAAATGTCCAAATGAAAACTGAGCATCTTCAAAGCAAATGGAAACTTATTGGGAGGATTTCTAAAGATTTCTTAAGTGACTTGAACTTCGAGGGATTAGAACTTCGAGGGACACAGATGCAGTTCCCTCCTCAAAGCTTTCCATGCAAGGATATACCAGTGTGTGAAGAATGAGGAGGGCAGAAATGTGATTGACATATGGTTTTGCCAAGGCTGGTTTTTATTCCTCAATCCTTACCCTCCAGCTATCCTGAAATTTTGTAGCTTTTTATTTCATTTTGCCTAGAATACCTCTATGACTTTTGGAACTTTTAGACAAACTGCCCTTAAACAAACAGAGAAAGTTAAAGGGAAGGAAATCTCCGATTCAGCCAAATGTAAGTGCTCCCTTTCTCCTCCAAACTCTGTACTTACCCTTCTGAAATTTTGCAAGTCTCTTGACATGAATAATCTCTGTTTATAACAGCTGTCAACAAATACCCGGGAAACGTAAGGGTGGCCAAGGCCTTTTCAAAACGCGGATTCATAGAGAACCACGTTAAAGAACTTAAGGGTGGCCAAGGCCTTTTCAAAAGGGCCAGACTGTAAAGGTCAATCTTGCACAAAACTCCCTGCACCCATTTTTTTTCTGAAATATAGGCAGCTATATTTTGCCATGAAGCTGTGACTGGTTCCTAAAAAGGAAATCAAAAGGTAAAGATGAGAGCAGTGGACAAACACAAGTCCAAGATATCTATACATGTGGTTCCAGATCTCACAAACAGAAAATGTCTGGTAGCTGCTTGTGGATCTCAGATGACTCTTGGGTAGGAGGAGGCATGATAACCCTGCACGCAAATCCAGCATCCTCCTACCGTGTTCCAAACGGAATGCGGGCTTGGCTCACGCCCCCCTATTACCCCGTCCGCCACCGCCACCCCTCGCGTTGAATCCCTGACTTTGGTTACAGGGGAGAGAGAAATGCCAGCTTTGACACTCCGCCACCAAAACCCGCTTTTGCTGTCCCGGCTTGATGCACCTTAGAAACGTCTTTCTGGACAAAGATTAGAACAGACACACACACACACCCTCAGCCCCTCAGCGAGCGAAGCTGGGCTTCCTCGAGAGAAAAGCGAAAGGCCGTTTCCCGCTCCTTCTCCGGCCCCGGGGGCTCTGGAGGTGGTGCCAACGCCGGAGGTGATAACCTGAGGAAGCCTTTTTCCTCGCCTCCCTGTTGTTCCCTTCCGCCGCCCCCCCTTCGCTGCTGCTGCTGCTTCTGCTGCGGCGGCGGCTGCTTCTGTCGCCGCCGCCCCCTCCTCCCTTTCCCGTGGTTTTATTTCTCATTATTATTATTATTGCCGCAGAAAGCGGGGGAACGCGGAAAGGCGGAGGAATCAGAAAGGGAAGGCGCGAGGGAGCTCTCCCCTCTCTCTCTCCCCCTCACACACGCGCGCGCGCGCGCACAAACACACCTACACACAGAGAGAGGGGCAGCACTGCAGAGGCAGCGGCGTTCCGCACTGGA